TCTCTTTTACCTTTCAATTTTACAAAAATGACGCTATTTACATGAAATGATGTATTTACTTGTGTGTGTGTGTGTGTGTAAAATGCTCATTTTGCTTTTGCTAAATCATGCCAAAATATGTATTTTCAAACTCTTTTGCTTGAAAATTAAGTCACTCTACTGAGTTGTTGATGTTCACCTTATGTTTTTTCCTCTTTTCAACTGTATGAAAGCGGGAAGACTTGTTCATTATGTACTGACAAATATTTTATACAGTTTAGGAGATTAATCGAAGCATGTACTTGCAATAACTGTAACTCTTGACTGAGTAGGGTATACTTATTTGACAAGGCATGTAATAGTTTGAGTATAGTACATGTGCTATATCTATGTTATACGTGATACTTTAATTTGTATGTTATGGGTTGGTTCATTAGGCAATGCTATATTACTTTAATGTTATTAAATGGTCCACAAGACAAGGTAACACCTACCGCATGCCTGGCTGATCTGAGGTGTGACGGAAGTGTCAATCAATCTCAACATGTTTAGTTATGTCATGTTGAACTAAATTATGAACAATGTTCATAGCAGCCTTTGTTGTCACAATATATTCTCATAGGTTTGTCAGCATAAATTATCAGATCTCCCAGTAATGTTTGGAGCCACATAAACTCACAAACTCCATGGGGCCTTGCTCTATAGCCTTTGCGCTAGACCTTGCCACCACTATTCACTTCTTGCTTCGCCACGTAACAAGATTTCCTACAATCAGGATGCAATAGCCTTAAATAGATCTTCTATCATCCATTGAACGTGCCCAATTGTATCACTGAATGCTTCTAGTTTCAAGTGGCCATTATTGGAGAACAAGGGCTCTTTCTTGGAGCTGACTTAAGATACCTCAAAATGTGATAAATAGCTTCAAGCTGAGAAGTTCAAGGATCGTGCATTAATTGACTTACAACACTTACTACATCAGCAATATCTGGGCGAGTATGTGAGAGAGATTAATCTCCTAACTAGCCTCTCGTATCTCTCTATTTCTACTACCTCTCCAACACAACCACTCAGTCAATGATTGACTTCAATAAGAGAATCGATAGGCCTACATCCCAACATCCTCTGTTTCTTCAAGCAAGTCAAGAACATACTTTCTCTGGAAGATGTCTTTGATTTCAAACTCTTTTGTCAATTAGACCTTGAATTTTGTGACCTCATGCTCATCATTCACAGTTATCACTATGTCATCCACATATAAAATGAGAATTGTAATCTTATCATCCACCTGTCTGACAAACATAGTATGATTAGCATGATTCTGTTTACATCCAAATTTTAGCATGATTTTAAGAAACCTATCAAACCAAGCTTTGGAAGATTGTTCCAACCCATAAAGAGACTTTTTCAGCTTACAAACCTTCCCATCTGTTATCTGAGATGAAAAATCTGGAGGAATCTCCATGTACACCTCATCCTCCAAGGCTCCATGAAGAAAGGCATTTTTAACAGCCAACTGCTTCAAATTCCTCCCCAAATTAGTTGTACAAGAGAAAAGAGCATATATGGAGTTCATCTTGGCCATCGGAGAAAAAATCTCTTGATAATCAATACCATATGTCTGAGTAAATCCCTTAGCAACCAACCTACCTTTATGCCTCTCAACAATAACAATCCCATTAGCTTATTGTTTGACGATAAACACCCATGTGCACCCTATTGTCCTTGCTACAGGAGGAATAGGAACTAAATTCCATGTGTCATTCTATTTTAAGGCTTTTATTTCCTCTGCTATAGATTCTCTTCACTTAGGATTAGTGAGAGTCTCTTTCCAACCCTGAGGAATAGACACAGAAGACAAGGAGGAAACAAAAGTATGATAGGATGGAGACAAGGAATTACAATAAACAAAGTTAGAGATAGGATGTTGAGTACAAGCTTGAACATCCTTTCTGCTTTCCATAGACAAATCAGTGGATGATGGAACTGGAATTGGGGAATTCAATTCATTCAGTGGTAGCATATGGATAATTTGTACTTTTTGACGGCCAGAATAAGTCTTCAAATTGTCACTGTTCAAGTGAGCATTGCCATGTAGATCACTGATATCACTTTTGTCCCTCCATAAGTTGTTGCTCCCTCTTAATAACATTCCATTAAATAGGCAACTGTAGGAGAAGTTCTCGACAAAACGTCTCTTCCTCTGTAGTGGCACTCTCCCCTTGAAGAGATATTTGGGTAGTAGAGAAAAAATGACTCAAATTCACGAAAGGTAACATCCATGCTAACATACATCTTCTGAGACTGTGTATGATAGCATTTATATCCCCTTTTGGCTAGCATAATAACCAACAAAGATGCATCGTAGAGGCTTGTGATCAAGCTTCCCCCTAGAGGATTTGTAATCATGTACAAATCAAAAACACTCAAAAATTTTAGGAGGAATACGAGAAATAGAAGGAATGGAAATAGACTTAGAGAGACACTCAATAAGTGACTTGAACTAAAGGACACTTGAAGGTAGATGATTGATAAGATAAGCAACAGTAAGAACTGCATCCCCTCAAAAAGATTGAGCAACATTCATCCCAAAAATCAATGAACATGCAACCTCACAAAGGCGACCATTTTTTCACTTGATAACACTATTTTGTTCAAAGGTACTCACACAAGTGGTTTGATACAAAATATCATTCTCATTGAGGTAAGAACAAAATTTTTCATCAATATACTTAGCTTCATTATCACCAACCTTACCTTCAAATTGGGTACTACAATTTTATGAAAGGATATAAATCATGAAAAAGCTTCACTTCTATTACGCATTAGGTAAACCCAAATAAGGCGAGAATAACAGTCAATAAAAGTAACAAACCAACAATAACAAAAAATAGACATAGCACGAGAAGGGCCCCCCACACATCATAATGAATAATGACAAAGAAAACAGTGCTTTTATTATTAGTACTAGGATAAGTTGAACGTTTATGCCTGACAAATTCACAAGTATCACAAACAAAAAATTGCCTACTATACTACTTTAGTAGACTAGGAAAAAAATGCTCTAACACGTTGAATGAAGGATCCCCTAAAAGTCTGCCACTGATGCAAAAACTGAAAGCCTAAAACACCATTTGTATGAAGAGCTTGACATGTACACTGAGGAGAAGCTTCTACATCTAGGAGATATAAACCATCATGTGCTCTATCAATACCAATCATTCTCCCCAATTCTAACTATTGAAAGGTACAATGAAGAGAAAAAAAATCACTGAATAATTCAAGGATTTTATAACACTACTAACAAACAATAGATTAGTGAAAAAATTGAGAACATGAAAAACCGACGAAAGGGATAAAAAAAGTGAGCAATTAATCGAACATTTCATAGACATAGAGGATAAAGATTTATCTACCACCTTAACTTTATTCCTATCAAAATATGTACAATATGAAGAAAAAAAAACTAGATGAATCTATCATGTGATCTGTGGTTCCAAAATCAATTTTGCAGAGAGTTTATGAGGACGGCATAGTAATCACACTAGTAGATATACCTGTATAAGCAAAGTTGAAAAAAGAAGAGACAAAGGTATAATTAACAGTAGTAACAAAGAAAACATCAAGCCGAGCTATCAAACACTTGATAGTTTGCACTCATCTTGAGAGACATTAGACTAAGATGGAGTAATTGAAGACTCAATCATGTGTGCATGGGATCACACATTACCCCCTTGGCCACCTTCTCAGTCATGTGTAGGACATCAAGTCAGCTTCCTACAAAACTCTTAAGTATGACTGGTCTTACCACAATAGTCACATTTTAAGGTATCCTTAGCAACGGTAGCACTTATCTCAACACTTCTCCACCATCTATTGAAATTTCACATCATTAGCATAATATACCGAAAATTTTGGTAGTAATAAAGCTCCTGCCATAAAATAGTCTTCTCCACATAATAAACTATAAAAGTCTTTATCTTTCTAATTAGTCTATCGAACTTTTTTCTGAAGATCATATGCCTTACGATCGTTGCCCCGTTGAGAATATGTATGGGATACAATAGTCCTAATCTTATGTATCATATCAAATAGCAAAAACTCAAGACTAATAGACTATTGGATTAAGTTAAACAATCAAGACATAACTCAAGCATTCTCAAGTGTCCACTACTTTAAGGAGGTGTCAAACTCACTAGGCTTGTTAGTCTTTCCAATCAATTATCCGTCTAAAGATATCGCTTGGACTGATTATATACAGGCCTATGACTATGCCAAATAGTTGCCCCATACAATTTCTCTAGTCTAATTTGGAGAGAGATGATATTTGCTAGAGCACCCAAACAGGTCAACCCACTTTCTCTAATACTTACCCATCATTAATTGATGTCGTACTACCTTCTGACATGTTTACACAAAATAGCAATAAATCGCAAAAAACAACATCGAAGAAGTAGCCCATAACCAAGAAATACCACTAACTACACCTCATAGGCACATAACAAGCCTCACAACTGTCAAACGGTGAACCCTAGCACCTGAACATTGCCAAACAACAGTGTCGACAGTCAAAAAATGGCAAAACTCCCCTTTGAAAAGAGAGGAAGAAAGAAGGAAAAAAATATAATAAGAGCACAGTGTATCTTAGGATTACACAACTACACCAATGTTTTATAGTTGCGTTACAAAATACTAAAATACCCTTATACTAGAAATAACATATAACATAACAACATAACAAAGGCTAAAATCACGAATATTGCTTGTAATATCTAAAATAAAGTATTTTGTTGGCCTACATAGGCATAATTAGCCATTATCTAGGACCACTATGCTACAAAAAATATATATTTCTCAACACTAGACATTATATCTCACAAGTCACTCTCCAACATTCGCTATTAAAAAGCAAAGGATTTCCATCAAACTCAAGTGTATTAAAAAAATTATACAGAGACGTGTCTTCATTAGTACAAAAAGAGGATAAGAGATAAATAATGGACTACGTTATTACATTAGTTTCAAAAACCAAATGGGGATTTTCTCCTGCTTCCTCCCTCCCCATATTGTTCATTCCATTTCCTAAGCTCATTCATGCTTGCTGCATCATAAGCAACTGATGGCCCCACCTGCATAGACATCAATATGATATTTCAGGGTAAAAAATTCTCAACGAAAAAAGTAAGACGAAGTATGATCAGAAAATAGGTAACCAGATTCAAGGGATTCATAAAAGTCATATTCGTGCCAAAAGCCATTTTAGAAGTCAGACATATTTTCCAAAGCTTGAAGATTTGCCCTCTTTTGAGAAGGATTCCCCGAGTTCCTCATCGAAGAACTCAACATATTCTAGAGAGCACTATACATCTATTTGAAAAACAGATATGGAACCTATTCAGCAATAAACCTCATAAGCCTAAAATTTTTCACACAAATTTTGAGCGGATACATCATGTTTGCCGTGTAACATAACTGTTTGGGGCTTTAAAAGTAAGTATACAAAAAATCCACATCCTGTCAATCTCCACGGATCTTAGTAATATGCTGCACTCATCAATGGCATGCCACTTAAGTATTGTTATCTACCATTAGTTTAACACCAATAATTTTGACTTTCAGGCAAACCAGTCCAGCTTATGAAAAATACACCTGCATAATTTCCGGAAAGATCAAGTTGCATACATGCCTAGGGAGAAGGGCAAGTGAGATGGTCAATCTTAGAATCCAAAGCATCGTTACTCTTAACTATATTTATACCCTTGTAAGCAGAGTCCATATACCACAACACCTAGTTTGAGTGGGGATGGCAACATGTATGGGTATCAGAATCTGCCAAAATTAGCGGCCCTGATTATCTGGACACGATCCAACGACGATTATCTCTGCATCGTTGATTGGTACTTGCAGCCATCTTGTTTTCCTAAATACTGGTACTTCTTGATAACGAAGAATTGTCCCAACCACATACCTTTTGGACTCGTATCTATGACTCACTCCCGAAGTCACACAATAATGCATAAACCATGCATACAGGGTACACCACGTTAGAGTGATCCTGTCTACCATCAGGATACATATGCAAAAAGGACAACCGCCTTGCACTAACAATGACAATGTCAAAACTGTACTCTGACTACTCGTCTTAGCACCCTCAATGAATGGAGACCACACTATAGAAGGCCACCTCTTTCTATTCGAAATCAGTGTGTTTCCATCTTTCGGGGAGTAGAAAATCAATTTTTGTTTTGATAGACCACGACTAGTGCTGTCCCAAATAAAAATGCAATAACAAAATAAGGCAGATATGACACACCGTAACTATATTCACGTGTTTAGTTACTAGCAACCCTTCTTATAGACTTTCCATTATGTGCAAGTATGTAGATTCTCTAAAGCCGCCTTCGACTTTAGTTCTTTGATATCACAGCCACTTATGCTTCATTTCATATTCTACCAGACTAGGTTCTATGTTCATCTCCATGACCATTGTTAAACAACAATTGAAAACATTCAGTTTTGGCCTCATTAATGGGGTCTGGGAGTGGTAAACTGTGTAAAAGCCTAACAATTGTCATTCATTGTGAAAAGTGGCAGCAGAAAAATATCAAGCAGCATTGTAACAACTAACAACCCAGTGGCTCATGAGGCAAAGGATCCACAAGGCTGTAGTAAGATCGAATTCTCTATTGTCAAAATCAAAAACTTTACATGACAAATGGACACACAAATTTTGAAGTTACAACTGCATTCAAGTTCACTAATTTGCTTCAATCCACTCACCCCGCACATGACAGAAATTCCTCCCCCTCCCCTTGTTTTCTCCTTTCTGGAAAATGAGATTTTCCAAGACACTTATGTACATAAGCACTTGCAATATCCACATGGCAATGATTAAATATTTATGCATAAGTTAGTTTTGATTCTAAGTGGGCAGGATCATCTGACATACACTGCATGGTTGTCTAAACATGCTTAAAGCTGTGGGCATCTACTGGTAGGTAACATACCTCCTACCAGTGAGACGAGGAAAATTTTGCAGGCCAACAAATTGTACGAGAGACACTGCATAGAAATGCTCTAGCTAAGCATAATCATGCAACTTTGTCATTCTACCCATAGTTGTCAAATCGTGTATAAGAAGGCGTATCGTTTTTTAAAAATAGTGTATCGTATCGTGTATCGTAAAATACGCGCAATTTTAATTTTTAAGTAATTATTAATAAAATATATGTATATACCTTTATAAAAAAGTCATAGACTCAAAATAACATAGTATCTCATTAATATTCCACCAACTATTCAAGTTTCCAACATATTTCAATAATATCAAAATACAAATGCCTTTAATTCAAACTTCTAACATCAACTGCTTGAACAACTTTAATATTAATCAAGAATTTTAAATTCAATTGGACAACATTAACATTGAACTTTATTTATTTATTTTAAACTATAACCACAAAAACGATGTTGTTTCACTAACTAGTGATTTAAAATTAAGTTCTAGGATAAAACGATGTCATTTCAACCCCCAAAAAAAAAAAAAAAAAAAAAGAATCGTCACGTATCGGACGTATCGTATCGCGTATCTTACGATAAGGTGCAAAAACGATACAGAAACACGATACGTATCGTTTTTTAGGTGTATCGTGACGTATCATATGATACGCATCGCGTATCGTACGATACTAATAACTATGATCCTACCCAACAACAAATTGTTCAATACTAACTTTATAGAAGACAGCCAAAAAAATTGCTTCACAAAGCAGATATTTTGCCATAGATCCACTTTGCCACATAGACTTGCTAACCCAAAGGCCAAGTAGTGATCTTTCTCATGGTATTATAGCACTTTGATACTCCGAATTACTATACCATATGGAATCCTGATCTCTATATACTTATTGATAATAGTGTTTGACAATAAATAGATAACTATGTTTGGCTCTCAAAAGTATTGACTTTTGTTCCCACATCACAACCTTTGAAAGTAGTGAAGAAAATTTACCTTCGCTTTTGACTGAATGAAATCTTCCATACAGAGTGGTCTTAATGCTGGAGCCAAATCATTTCTGCTTCCCTGCAGAAAAGAGAACCGAATATTGAGCAGGCAAATAAGTCATTACAAATCAGAGATATATGGCCAGTAAGAAAAGCGTGTGACTAAACATAAAATTAACATATAATCAATATTTCAGGCGTTTAGATTGTCTTCTTAAATTAATAAGTCTATTCCAGAACAACTGCCACTCAAGTGATGATCACCACCTCCATAACCTGGTAGAGTTTCTGCCATTGGCTTGGCTATACACCAGAAGCTAAAGATAGGAGGCGCAGCTTGATAGCAGGCTTCAGCACAAGTCAATGTCGCTGCTACCATAAATGTTTTTAGAAGAAGGAACCCTCAGGAATAAAATCTACCATAGACAATCAATTTAACATGCTACCTATAACAGATTCCTATTAATCAGAACTAAAGCACATACTATTGTGCAGCTTTACTCATATTTTTCTCAAACAATAAACATTTCCCATTTGAAATTGCTTTTCTAGTAATTCACCTGACTCAAGTCATACACCAGGTCTCCAGAAAAAAACATAACACACCACCAAATTCCCATTGATGATACTTCTTCTTAGACAAGTAAATGAGCCTTCCACTTTCTCAAGAACCAATGACTAAGGTATCGTGGCATTCTATCCTATCATAGTCCAATAATTCTGGAACCCTCTGGCATTCCTGAATTTGGTAAATGGACTACTAATAAAAAAGAAGCGGTTCAAGGTTAGAGAGAGAGGACCGTGATAAACTCACCAATTAGTGATAATGAGCAAATATAAACAGAGTAAAAACAACTGATGACACACGTATGACCTGCCCAGTAAACACTGTTTTCCAAGGCAATCCCCATTTCACACAAAGTGGGGAGAATCTGAATAATATTATTTAGATGATAGATAGTAAAATTTAAGGCCAGATGCACTTACCTCCATTTTTATCTCCAGAAGTTCTTGGACAGGTCTATATGCTGCGGCGATACAGAGGTTCTGCAAAAGACATAACCATAAGAAATAGAAGACAACGATAAGCAGACAACCAGTAAAAAGCAGTAAATTACCTTCAAATCACTCCCTGAATACCCTTCGGTCTCATTTGAAAGATGTTCAAACTGAAATCCAGATTGTAGATTTTCTTCAGCAAGAATTATTTTCAGTATCTTCAAACGATTTTCAGCATCCGGAAGGTCTACATAAATCCTATATAACAACCAATATCCTTCATTAGCAGATGTAATCTAGTTTATTTGTCCAATTTTTGTCAGTGTATTCTTGAAACAAAGAGTTTTGCAACTGTAAACCATAAAGCATGCAGCCAAAACAAGCATGGCTCACATGCAGAGCATTGGAGAACAGGAACCAAAACACCCATCGTGGGCTATTCTGTCTATTAAGCTTCTAGTCAAAACTTCAACAGAGAATCCATTAGTCACAATCTTACCTTCTTGGTAAGCGGCGAATGACAGCATCATCAAGGTCAAATGGCCGATTTGTGGCACCTAGGATAAGGATTCTCTGGCTGTCTTTTGACCTCAATCCATCCCAGGCTGCCATAAACTCATTCCGCATTCTTCTAGTCGCCTCATGCTCAAAAGCACCACCACGAGCACCAAGCAAGCTGTCAACCTATATAAGTGGAGGCATGATATCAAAGGAAGTATATAATTACAGCAAAAACTTATTTACCTTAAAAAAAGAACCTAACAAAAACAAAGCAGAAGTTCAGAAAATGTTAATATAATGATAGAAGCATGATATTGATGATAGGGAACAATAAAAAGGAGAAGGGGGAAGGGAAAAATTAAAACTTTGGCTATTAGCTTTTAATATTGACATCTGTAAAGATACCATTAGTATCTTCAGAATAGTAAATAAGGAACATGGATTCAATATTGGCACATAAGTAGCATATGAAGCATAGGGGCCAAAAGAAAGTGATTGACTGATGCTGAAAAATAACAGTCATAAAAGTAATTATATCACCAAACAACATTCTTAAACAATGATAAATAGAGCCATCTTTTTATCTCATTTTTTTTAGTTAACTCTATTTTAGGCATCCATTCCATTTCATAACTGTGGCAAAAAATTCATTTAATTCATTTTCAATATTTTTTATGGGTATCTTACTGCTTAAAATCAAATTCTAACGCTTGTACAAATATGGCTAGCCAACTTATACTACGTAATAAGTTTTATATTCAACAGCAATTCTTTTTGCACATTAATTCCATAACATGACAAAAACTAAAATTAAAGTGCATTTGGAGGGCTAAATTGCCCATTAAAGTGTAAGTTTGTGCATTAATTATAGCTCATGGTAGGATTAATACTAATGATGTGCTTCAGAAAAAGAGTACAATTTCTTCACATTTCTCCAGAGTGGGGTGTGATGTGTGCATGTGCTAGTGAGAGTATTGATCATCTTTTTTTTTTGCATAGCCCTATTACTTTGTTTTTGTGGTCAAGCTATTTTAGTTAGAAGCTTTGAGTTGGGTGATTCCCGAGACTTTTACTTACATGCTACTGGAGGAATTAGAGGAATTTGGAAAGTATGAGAAAGGGTGACCATTTGACATTGTACAATTTTGCCATATTATGGGTGATTTGGTTGGAAAGAAATTCTAGAATATTTTATGATAGAGGTGTGTGCAAGCAAGGATTATGGGATCAGATCCCTTTTTTGGCATCGTTATGGGCATCCGTTTCCAAGGATTCTGATGGCATTCCAATATTTTATAAAGTAATTTTCTCATTAGAATTTCGTATCTAAGCAAGGATCAAAATGTCGTGTCGCAACATCTGAAACGTTTCAGAATTTCTACACTCCGACACGAAACAGTGGTTGAATCACAAAATTTCAGTGTTTTGGTCAAAACGGTAATGTTTCGGACCGTTTCGTAAGAAACAGTGATATATTCGATCCACTCCAGGCCAAAAGACAAAAGAGAGAGGCTCAGTTAGAAAACAGATTCATTCACAGCTCCAAGCCAAAAAAAAAAAAAAAAAGTCAAAAAGCAGATTCCTTCTCAGAAATCACATGTATGTCTCAGAAATCGTTCACAGCCCCAAGCAAAAAAAAAAAAAAAACAGAGAAGAAGGAAAGAAAGGAACCAGACGAACCAGAAATTGAAGGAGAAATTACTCTAACTTACCTACTTGACTCCAGATTTGAGTAGATCCAAGCATTATCCACGCAGATCTAGGACTTGGGAGTTGTCCAGCCTTCATCGCTGCGACCACGAGTTACCACTAGTCCACAGGTATATTCTTCTCTTCTTCTTCTCTCTCTCTTTCTCTCTCCGACAACAGCATCACGATCGCCTACGCCTCTTGCCCTTCTCTCTGTCTATCTGTTCGGTCATGTGGTTGAACTGTGCAGGTCTTCTACTTTTATATTTTTGAATTTTTGTTATAACTATGAATAATTACATTTAATACCTCATTCTAATTATATTTAATATTCACTGCAATTACATTTAATATCCATTGTAATTATATTTAATACCCTACTATAATTGTGAACATACTTGTTCATACTTGTTATAGGTATGAACAATTATATTTAATATTTTACTATAATTATATTTAACACCTACTGTAATTTTATTTAATACCCATTACAAATATATTTAATACCTATTGAAATTACATTTAATACCCCACTACTGTGCAAGTACCTACTGTAATTATATTTAATATCCACTGTAATTACATTTAATATCCACTGCAATTACATTTAATTTTTAAGTATACATAAGTACCATTAATTTAATTTAATACCCTTCATTATTAGTATTATAATAAAACAGTATTATTAATTGAATAATATTTTAATTTAAAAGTGTTATACAAGTCATATTTAATTTGTAGAATGAATATAATGTCACAAACAGATAAAAGAAAAAAAAACGTGATATTGGATGGAACTACGGGAAACGAATTGTCACAAACAACCTCATCTAGTGGTTATGAGAGAAACTGGAGCACATTTGCTCTCATTCATACTAAAGTGCGGAATCGACTCAATTATCAAAAGTTAGAAAGGCTGATGTTTGCACAATATAACATGAGGTTGAAGTTAAAGCACCTTATGAAGAACAAAAAAGGGTATGAATTCAGACCTATAGACTTGACCACTGTTTTTGAGAAAGACAAAGATATTTCGGAGTGGTTAGATGATCCTAGTGATGCACTTTTAGATGAACTTGATGATGATGGGCAACCAACAAGACCAAACACTTTCTTGGCAATGTGAGCAAATCGCTTTTCCGATGACGATGGAGGCGTAGGCCTAAGTCAAGGTGTTGTGCTACCACGAAAATCAAGATCCAAATAAGTAAAGAATGATCAAATAAAGCAATGGATGATAAAGAGTTTGACAGACTAATGAGACGACCACCAAGACGTAAGCAACCTATCACTGTCACTAGTAGTTCTGAGGATGATCATAATGGTGATGGTAGTAATGATGATGGTGGTGGTGAAGATAATGATGAAGATAGTGGTGGTGCTGGTAGTGGAAGTGGTGATAGCCATGAACATGGAGGCAATGGAGGTGGTGGTGATGGAGGTACGGGAAACCAAAGTCCACATGGAATTCTATTCACTGTAGAGGAAGGATTTACACATGCTACACAAGATGAAGATCATGGCTCTCAATGAATGTGTCAATATGAACGTCACTCAATCAACTCGAGATCGTCAACGTAAGCGTATTCAAAATCCGATCACTCCACATGGTATGGGTGCTATTAGGCATGGAGCTGATACGATTAATGATGATTTTTCTACTATGAGTATAAGTGGAAGTGGAAGTGGAAGTGGAAGTGAACACCACAATTATGGTTCGTCGTTTTCATATGATTATGGTTCTGAACATCGCATTCCCTCATATGATTATGAATCGGGGTATGACACACGAAGATACGAATATGGATCCTCAACTTATGTTTATGGATCTGGCTATGACTCCCAGACATCCTCCTCATATAGACAAGATGAAGGTTAGCCAGAGACTGGTGCATTCGTTTTCTAACAGATTGGATATAGTGTTATAGACTATTAGAGGTTTGGGAGAGAATATAATTCATATTATCGTAATAATATGAGTTGGAGTAACTATTGTCATCATATTTATGTCACATATGGAGTTTCTCTAAGTAGCTACCCAGAGCCTATACTGATGTATGAGCCTGCTCGACACTCCACAAGGGGATGGATGTAACCATATAAGTATGTACTCATTAGAATTTCATGTGTATTATGAGACCTTAATATTATGTAAAAATGTGTTTATTTGATAAAAATTAAAAGTTTGAAACTAATTTAAGCGATTTTAGTCTCATGTCAAGCATTTTTTTCCCTCTAATTTAAATTTATTCTTGTATAAATAAATGTTAACCCAATAAATATATTGAATTAATCAATTATTTAGCTTATCTTTATAAATTAATGGATTATATTTGTGTTTTCACGCGTTTCCATATTTTTTTTGCGTTTTCGTTTTTGAGCTGACCGAAATGGTACTTCGAAACGAAATTTCGATCCTTGTATCTAAGTATTAGATATTTTATCAACATTTAAACAACATACATGAACTTTCAACAGAATAAATACTATGATAGTCAAAAAAATTATTAGTCATCAAACTATAACCAAAATCGATTTATCATGAGCGACACCAACATGTTGATATCTTCATCAAGAAAATTAAGTTTTGACCAACAAGTTTTTTGCCGGTGAGTTCTAAATGCTAGAATTTGTAACAAGTAGTGTGCCCCAAAGAGATACACTGGTCCTTTTAGTCTTATTATATGTATATGTATATGTATATATATATGTCAAACCTATCAATTAAGTTGAAATCTAATATTACAAATAGTACAAGATCACTCACCCAAAATTTTATTCTTGCCCATTACTTATTTTCTCTCCTCCACCCTCATCCATCAATCAAACCTGCAAGGCTACACACCTCCCCTAACCAGTTAATCAGAGTCTCTCTCTCGCTCATTCCGGTCTTATGTCTCTACCCCTATCTCTCTATCTCCTCCCAACCAGGCCGCCATTGTCAATAATGCTAGCTATTAGCACCATCATCGGTTTCGTCGTAGTGCCATCATTACCATCCTTTCAAGTATTTCTCTCCCTTCCCATCTCCCTTCTCTTGGATTCATCTTTGCTAACACACACAAAGATCCCCCCCATCCGCTTCTCCCTGTCATCCTCTCTGTGCATAACTCCCTCACCAAACCTTGTGGTTTTTCCACACGTCTCCCTTTCCTTGCACTACGCCCCCTTTCCTCCACCACCACCACCACCCACACACTTTGCATTTCATTTATATTTCACACAGAACACACACACATTTGCCCTCTCATCCAACTGATCAATGCAATTGGAGGAGAATCGCTTGCCCATCTTCTTCCTTACCTCACTGAAAGGGCTTCCCCAAGGGTAGTTCATAAAGTGGAGTGCACACAACCCCTCCACATCACACACACAAACACCCTACCTGTCGAGACAATACCGTTATACAATACATATAAACACTGAGTCTCGCACGA